CCCCACCCGCCTCTCCAGGGGACGGGTGGTCTCCGCGCAGGGCAGAGCTCCCGCTGCTCCAGGCCCAGGACGCGGAGCAGTCGGCTGGGCAGGCAGCGCCGCCGCACCTATCAACGGGGTGCCGACAGCAGTCGCCGGCAGCGTGTCAGATACAATGATGAGGAAAACCGAGTAGCCCAGCAGGAGGGTGATCTTGAAAGAGACCCGCTCGCCACTGTTGGGAGGGAGGTAGAAGCCCACGATGTCCATCACCATCAGGAAGATGCTGGGGAGGAGCAGGCTGACGGTGTAGAAGAGGGGGCGTCTCCGGATGACCACCTGCAGGACAGAGACCGGAAAGGCTTGGCGAAGGGGTGAAACGAGGTGGGGGCAGCTCTCCAGCCAGGCAGATGAGGATGGTGGGGGCACTAAGGTGAGCCAGAGGAAGGGCTCAGCACCGAGAACCTCCTGCCCACAGGCAGGAGCAGCGCGGCACAGAGCAGCTGGGCGATGGAGCCACAGGGACAGTGGCGAGAGCCTTCCCTAGCACCCCACCCTCGCGGAGCACGACGGTCAAAGACCCTTACGTAAAACTTCATCTCGGCATAGCTGTCGCTGCTCTTGACGCTGAACTCCTGGAAGCAGCTGAGGACATAGAGCAGCTCCCACTCGCCCTGGTTCATGAAGACGCTCCGGTCGAACTTGACCAGCTCCGGCTGCCGCCACAGCGAGAGGTTGATGTCGCGGACTGGGGGGCGGAGGAGAGGTGAGGACCGGGGGTGCCCGGCCCGGAGCGCCGGCAGCTGCCTGCACATCCAGGCCAGGCTGGGTGCCTGCCCTCCCCGCATGCATCCCCGATCCGCTGGGGCCATCTAGAGGGGCGAGTCGCCTTCTGCACGGAGCTCCAGCCCGGCTGAAGTCCTGCCCGCTCCCCCCGAGCCCCCCGCCCGCGGGGGCCCCGGCACTCACTGTGGTGCAGCCAGCTGGTGAAGGTGAGTGAGCAGTTCTGGACGTCGAAGGGGAAGTTGTAGATGTCCAGGCTGCAGGCGGTCATCACCTGGATGGGTTTGAGGTTCTGCACCTCCCCGTGGTGGCCAACGTAGACGTAGGGGACATGGGGGGACTTTCCGACATCCACGCTGGGGGGCACAAAGGACAGAGACCAGGGCTGGAGAGCACGCTGGGAAGAGACAACTCCCACCGAGCTGCGTTTGGGAGGGAACCACCCGGGAGCCGGGGTTTGCCCCCCGGTTGGCTTTTTTGGTGCCTGCCTGGTGTCCAGGCTGCTGCCCCCCCCAGCCCAAGGAGCAGCTGCGTTCTTGCCTCGGGGCTCTGTGGAGCCACTGGGAACACCTTAAACCCCCTCCCCGGAGCGGGAAGGACGCCGGCTGGCTTCACAGGAAGGGCCGGCAGCTCTGCAGCTGCCCTCGCATTGTGCTGCCTTCACAAAGCCTCTCTCCAGATATCTGGATCCCACCCCCGGCACGGCGCGGGTAATTACCGACGGTTGCGGTTCGCCAGCGTTGGAAACGGCCCAAGTGCCGAGCCGTTCCCCATCTGCAGCTCGCCCGATGCGGGGAGGCTGCCAGCTCTGTGCCGGGAATACAAAGCAAGGGGCGGCGTGTGCCCGTGGTGGGTGAGGGGACTCCAGCCCCCGGCCTTGAGCCACACTCACAACTCGTTGATGAGGATGTCAGGCACCCAGATGCTCTCCACGGGCAGGGAGATGTGCGTCAGGTTGTCGAAGTGCGCCGGGTCCCACCTGAGGAACTCGTCCATCCAGTGCTGGGGACGAGGGAGACGGGGCTGGGGGGCGAGGTCCCTTCTGCCCCACTGGGACCCAAACCCTGGCACCCTGCCAGGGGAACCCGTCCTGGAGGGTGGAAGGGCTCGTCCTCTGGCCATCGCACCCCCCAATGGTGTGAAGCACAGAGCATGAAAGCTCTGCCTTGAGGTTCGAGCCCTGCGGAGGTCTGGCCATCCCCTGGGATGGGTCCGGCCTCGCTGGGGATGACCCATGTCTGCAGGAGGTGCTGGGCCCCGGGGGAGCCTGGCCAAGGAGGGGCAACATTTCACGGGCTCGTCTGCTCACCTGCCTGTACCAGATGTAGGTGGTCAGCACCTGGTTCTTCTCATCCTGCGGGGAGAAGCGGACACGGTGTCGGCAGGGCGGGTAGTGGCACTGCGGGAGGTGGCAGAGCCGGCCGGGAGGACGCGGCGCGCCGGGCATCGCTCCCCCGCTGCAGGCAGGCAGACGCTGCCCGCACTGAAGGCAGCTGCCCCCACCCCGTGCAGGATGGGAGCGGAGGACTCACCACGCTGAGGATGGCGTAGACCATGAGGTCGATGGCCACGGTGGTGGTCGTTCGCCAGTCCCGCACAGGCCGGGTGCCCTTCTGGTAGTGGGCCAGCAGGGAGTGGGCCAGCCGGCGCAGGGCGGGCTCGGCAGGTTCAGGTTCCCGGCCCCGCTGCTGGGAACCTGCGGGCAGAGGGACGGAGGGAGGGATGGGGCAAGGGCTGCCCTCGCCGGGGCTCTGCCACGAGCCGCGGGATGCTGCTGGCCACCGTCCCCCCCTCACCAGCTCGGGTTTTCCCTCAAGGTTGGGTAGGAGCATCCTGATGGAAACAAGCCCGCCAGCACCGCGGCCTCACGCCTCGTTAACGTCCGCTGCTGGGTGGGTAGCTCGGGAGGCAGAGCTGCCGTCCCCCACCTCCCCTGGACACACGCCAGGACAGCGGCAGCGGGGGACCGCGAGGGACTCACTGCCCCCAGAGAAGTTTCCCACCGCTCTACCTCTCATTCTTCTTTGCTGTGCAGGTGAAGCGGTGAAGGGTGGGTGCTAAACTCATTTATTGGGTATCTCGGTATTTATTAGGTATCTTGGTGTTTGTTTCCTGTGGAAACGCTCCCTCGGCTGGTGCCGGCAGCGTTAATCGCAGAGCAAATTGCTGGTGGCACCTGCATCCTCGCTGCAAGGCCGCCAGCAACGCCGCGGCAGAGCCGCACTCGTGGCTTTGCTCTGCAGCACGCCCAGACCCGGACTCCAATTCCCTCCTAATGAAGGGGACTAATTGGAATAGATCTGCGGGAACTTGGGAAAAGCTGCTGGGAAGGGAACTGTAATCTGTCTTTTAAGGTAAAAAAACCTAAACCGCGGTCTCAGCCCCTCCAACGTTGCACGTGATTAGTAATGCCGGGGAGCCGGCCGGGCGCACGACCCTGGCCCAGGCAGGCGTGCAGCAGCGGAGGCGGCGAGGGGGGGCCAGAGGCAGCAATTAGGGCGAGGGGAGGAAAACAGGCGCTGCCGTCATCGCGGCTGGGGCCAAGCGGCCTTTTCTGCTGGCAGCTGGTGGCAGCTCCTCGCACCCTCCGCTCCTCCTCGCACCCTCCGCTCCTCCTCGCACCCTCCGCTCCTCCTCGCACCCACACCACCGAGCTCTGGGCCAGGATGCTCTGTCAGCAGGAAAATGGCTCTGCAGAGGGAAGACTGGGCTGGGCTTGCCCCGGCCGCTCCCTGTGTCTGCTGCGGGCATGCGCTGGTCCACGTGGCCCCGAACCTGTGCGGCAACTCATCTGGTGCAACCTGGCATGGCCCTGGCACACCGGGTGCATCTGCACGGACCTTCCTCCCTCCTC